AGAGAGAGAGAGAGAGAGAGAGAGAGAGAGAGAGAGAGAGAGAGAGAGAGAGAGAGAGGATCTGTTGATGTGCTTCCAGCACCTGTCGCCTCCAGCATGGTAGGTGTACATGGCAAACCGACAATGATCCGTTTGTCGACGCCGACAGTCCGCTTCCGCTGCTGTCGATAGTCGTTGGTGGATGCATCCCCAATGTGCGCTTCTGCTGCACTCGATTTTCAGATTCGGTACTCACGTGCATGGCATTGCCGCTCGACTCGACTAATTGCGTCGCTGGTGGGTTGATTGCGTCCCTGTTTCAGGTTGGAAGAACAATAGATCCGCAGTCATCTTTAAGCGGAAGCGGCTTGTGCGATTCGCAGAGCTTTCTCGATCGTCAGCCTTCGCTCCCAGGTTGAAGGAAGTAAAGAGGAAGATCTGGGAAATGCGTCGAAGGTGGCTCTTCCCGCACAGCAGCTGACAACGGCCGACAGCGACGTTAGTGATTCGGGAGTAGAGATCAAACGTATCTTGTAGAAGAGAGGAGGCAATGCTCGAAGTAGAAGCAACGGGAGGACCGCGGAAGCAATGTGAAGTAAGCGGTAGGTGCATGACATGATGACACAAGCCGTAGAGTTGTTCTTAGCAAAAGGGAGTGGACGAGTGTTTTTTGTCTTTTTCCCTCCTCTGTTGAAGACTGGAGGAGGAGATGGAGTACTGGGAGGAGGGAAAAGAACAGGGAAAAGAACAGGGAAAAGAACAGGGAAAAGAACAGGGAAAAGAACAGGAAAAGAACAGGGAAAAGAATTAGAGTATAGTCAGTATTAGTCACCGTGTCCAGTGCCTTGTCGGGAGCATATTTGTCCAGAACGACTATATGACTTGAGAGTGTCGTTAGAGACGTTGAAGAGCGCGGTGAGGGGAGGAAACGGTGAGGGGGAGTGAGAGCGATGGACGGGAAATAGGAGTAAGATCCAAACTCATCTGAGCAGTGGGTAAAGAGAGAAGCTGTAGCAGCTTGCAAAGGAACGGATTCTGAATTGGCAATTACTTTAGTAGACAATGATGGAAGCGATGAAGCGACTGACGAAAGCAATAGCAGGAAGCGAAGTTGCGAGAAGAAAGACAATGGCTGGACAGCCGGGGCATTCACAATCAAGGCGGTAGATAATCTCCGCACGTCCTCTTCTTCGCTGGAGGTGGATTCAGATGAGATGGTCCACGCTAACCCGAAACGTTGGATAGGGATCGACTTCGGTACTTCTTCTTGCCTGGTGGCTGTGTGTCTCAATGGGAAAGTCGAGGTCATACCGGACGTGTCCGGCAAGTTCTCGACACCATCTGTTGTCGCATTCACGGACAATATGTGTTTAGTGGGCCAGCAACTACAGCAACAAGTGCTGAAGAAGCCGGAGAGCCTAGTACTCTACGAGGTGAAACGCCTTATTACGAATCGATCAGTGAAGAGTAGAAGACATTGTGGCCGTTTACCGTCGTTAAGGGAGAACACGGCGAGGCGATGGTGGAGGTGAAGAGTGAATTGTTGTCCTCTCTGATGAGCAATTGTAGACCTCAGGTCAGGGGAAGAAATGAAAGGCAGTTTCAGCAGGAAGGGGTCCTTACTTCGGAAAGGCAGGAAGAGGGGCCTTGTACGCAGGACGACGGGAAGAGGCGCTTGGCGCCTGAGCAGGTTCTAGGGATGCTTCTAGCGAAGATGAAGAATGATGCCAAGACATTTCTCGGGTGCAAAGACCTGGACGCGGCAGTCATTGCCGTTCCAGCGCTCTACTCCTCTAGGCAGTGATCAGCGACCAAACTGGCGGCCGAGATCGCAGGTTTCAAAGATGTACAACTAGTCAGTGAGTCGACGGCGGCCGCTTTGTCCTACGTCCGGTACAAGGGACTAATCTCGATGTCCATGGGCTCCGACGGTGTTTCTCCTGAAGAACGAACTCAACGTGGAACGAAGATCCTTGTCTTTGCGATGGGCGGAGGAAGCCTCGAAGTTGCCCTTGTTACGATCTGCGCGGGCTGCTCACCGTCGACTCAGCGGAAGGCAATCCAAGTCTTGGCGGGATGGACTTCGACCAGAAGATAATGGAACTGGTACTCGATGGCGTGCAGGTGCCATGTCGTGCAACACACGCTGTGAATGGCAGCAACTTGTGGGGACGGAAGACAGCCAGCGAAAAAGCAAAGAAGGATCTAACTTTGCTAAGAGACGCGAATGTTAAGGTCGGGAGTTTTCGCGCCGATGATGATTGCGAGGTGACCATCCGCCGCATTGATTTTGATGAAAAGTGTAAGAGTTTGCTGGCGCAGTGCATGAAATGCGTCCAAGGAGTCTTAGAGGGAACCGGCACTCGGATTTCCGATGTGAAGGAAGTTGTGTTGGTGGGTAAGTCAACACGAATTCCCAGCGTCGTAAAAATGCTTGGGAATTACTTTGGCGGGCAGCCAAAGCCCCACTTTTATCAAGAAGAAGCCGTTGTGCACGGTGCGCCGCTGTTTGCTGGTTATCGTCAACAGATTGAAGAGATTCATCCCTTAAGCGTCGCGTACTATGACAGTGGAGACGGGTGTCACTGCGTTTACAGACAGTGCAAGAGACCGGCTCGCTTCAATTTGCCAAGTCGCGATTCTTCGTGGCGAGATCCAAGAGATGGTCATTTGTGTCTTCATTTATTTGAGTTGGCAAAAGGTCATGAAGGTTACATAGCAGCTGGTAAAATAGTGCTGCAGGCAGAGCAGGAGGGCGGCGTTCTCCCCAAGCTCAGGATGGACCGATGCGGGATCCTCAGCCTTGACCAGGGACAGGCGTCAGCGGATGCTGTGCTTGATAAACCATGGCAACCATGCCCGGAGGTGGTCGACTGGTGGAAGCAGGTCGCCGAGAAACTCACCGTGTACGAGCCGAGGACACAATGGAAGAAGTACATCGAGGAAGTGGAGAAGAGGGAGGCTTCATGCCCGCGCTGGCTGTGGAGTGTTATATCGGAATGGAAGCGTGACACGGAGCCATGGCCTAAGAAGGGGGCGGCAACGGGTCGGGTAAGGATCAAAGATTTTCCCGCGTGGTTTGACGACTTCCGCAGGGCATGCGAATATGCCTTCGGAGAGTTATGGGCGAGGTCGTTATCGGGAAGGAGGTTCTTAGTGGTCGATTGCTGGGAGTCCAACGATGTTGACCGATGCTTGCAGAATCTCCGGGCGAACAGGAACCCAGATATGTGTGACGTGGTCGTGGCCATGCTGCTCAAGCATCTTCGAAAGACAAAGGAACGTATCGATAAAATTCAAGGAATCGGTAGCGGCTCAGTGCTTTTCGTTCAATTCTACTCCGGACACGGTAAAGGCGAGCGGAATCCCTTACGTGGTTCTCTCGACAAGTCCCCTGCGGCCTTCTGACGATGGCGATCGTCTTTGCCGGGCATGGAACAAGCTGGTGGGTGAGCAGGTGTTCCTAGCTGTGCAAGCTGGTCTTCAGGTCGTGTTGCGCCTCGGACGGGACGATTTTCGAGACGAGCAGAAGAGTAATCTGCCTTACAAAACTCAAGACGAGAATGATCACTGTGAAGCGCAGCTCAGGGACACTGTAGATTCGATTGCGCCAGGGAACTGGCGCAATGTAATCATCGCATATCTGGCTCCACCGCATTTGTGTTGGGCACAGCTCCTGCCTGGAAATGAAGCCGCTATCCCGGAGGAGCGGAATGGCACTCTTCCACAGAAGAATCAGGTAGTCGCTACTGTTGGGCACATAAGAAAAGTGATCGGGAATTTGGTGAGCGACGAGGCTGCGAAGACGGTGCGCATCCTAATCGGCGGATGCGCCGCCCTGGAGATGTGGAATGCCATCATAAAGCACGATGAGGTTGATGGCCTCCTTTTTGAAGGTGGGTTCCGAGACCCTCGCCTCGTCGAGAAACTCTGTCAGCCGACTCAGCCCAGTAGAGAGAGGAAGGGCAAAGCCCTACTTTGCCGCGCTGCAGACGGAGATGCCACTCTGGATGAGAGTGACATGCGGTGGCTGCACAACATCAGCCGGGACCTGATGGCTGGAGAAGAGGTGGACTGGATAACCGTGAAGAATGTAAGGGGTGAAAATTCAGGAGTGTGTCAAGAGGAAGGGAGTGGCTCCGTTGCTATGGTTTGGAAGGAGGGTGCTGTAGTCAGATATGATGACCAAAAGGGAAAGGGAAGCTTCCCTCGTAAGGTGAAGATCTGTCCTAAAATTGTTGACAGTCAGCGCGGAGCGGAGCTAGCAGAGGCCATAGAGAAGCAACTTTCAAGGTGGAGGGAGAAGCTTACTCATCTAGAAACGGAGGAGATTGTTGTTGAGTACACGCCTGTGCCAAGTGTGGACAAAGTAGACGATCTTGCTGTGGCCATGGAGACAGCTCACGCCTTCATCAGAAGGTGGATTATGTCGAACATCAGCCCCTACGTGGCGCAAGCGGTGCGCATAGTTTGCTCCCTGGACGGGCTGGCGCCAGAAACGCACAGAGAAATCACCAGGCAACCCAACGTAGACGGCCTAAGCCTGCGACTCGACAAGGTGGGAAATGCGGCACACAGCGCGGGGAATGCATCCTCCAAAGAGTCCCAGCCTGCCGAGAAGCTCACCGTGAGGAGTGCGAGGTACCAATGGAACACGTACGTCGACCAAGTAGAGAAGCGAGAGTCTTCATGCCCGCGCTGGCTCTGGACTATTATATCTGAATGGAAGTGTGACATTGAGGGATGGCTTGACAAAGAGGGGGAAGGTGGTTTCGTAGGGATCAAGGAATTCACCTTCCGATTTGCCGAATTCCAAAGGGCGTGCGAATATGCATTCGGAGCGTTCCGGCCCCGACCAATGTCAGGAAGGAAGTTCTTGGTGGTGGATTGCTGGAAATCCAATGATGTTGAAGACTGCCTGCAGAGTCTCCAGGCGAGCAGGCTCCCAGATCTCTGCGAGGTGGTCATCTCCATGACGCTCAAGGACCTTCGGACGACCAAGGAACGAATAGCAAAAGTGGAGGGGGTCCAACTAGCGGCACCCTGCATTTCGCTCAAAGCGACCCCCAAAGCCTTGACGAAGGGTGGAATTCCTTACGTCCTTCTCGACGCAGGGCCGGGCATAACGGGCTCTGGTGATCCAGAGGATCTCTGCTCGGGGTGGAACAAGCTTGTTGGTGAGCACGTGTCCTTAGCCCTGCAAGCTGGTCTTCAGGTTATCTTGCGCATTGGACGAATTGATGGCGAGGATGTGGAAGACGCCGATGAGGCCTTTGAACTGGAGGAGGAGAAGCGCCATTGCGAGGCGCAACTTAGGGACATTGTCAGTCGCCTCGGCAAGGACTTTCGAAACATAGCCATGGCTTATCTGCCTCCACCTCATATGCTGACTTCGGTAAACGAAGCAGCTGCAGCAGAGGCAGCCAGCTCAACCCGGTGTGACGTTGTTGAGGCTGTTCGGCACATCAGACGTGTCATCGGGGACTTGGTGAACACCGAGGTCACCAAAGCAACGCGCATCCTTATCGGCCGATGCAAGACGGAGGACATGTGGCATGCCCTGCTAAAAGAGCGGCATGAGATTGATGGCTTTCTTTTTGAGGCGGGCCTTCGAGACCCTCTCCTTTTCGATAAGCTCCTGCTCCTAGGGGGACCAAGCGGAAAAATTGGGCCAAAGAAGAGGGGCAAGGTGTTGCTCTGTGACGGGCAGAAGGAAAATGTGACCCTGAGTGAGTGTGACATGGTCTCGTTGAGCTGCAATCAGACTCGTTCTCAAACACACTCTTCATGCATGTAAACAGCAACGCATCATACCGGCGACATGCGCCCAAAGAAAACTCAGAGATATGGCTTCAAGATACGAGTTCACTCTCAATTAGCTATGGCGACTTCAGCGCCCACACAACTCACTGTCTACACACACTGGATCACCCTGGATATCCCACACGCATCCCTCTAACACTCGAACACACACACACACACTTCCTACTAACTACAGCTATGGCAGCTATGGCTGCCACTAACCTAACACTATGCTAACTCCCTCTCTCTTGCCCACCGCGACCTCCGGGCCCATCTGCAGACCTCCTCGCACAAGTCGCTGTGGCAGCGCTTCCGCATGGCTCACGCAGGAATGAGTAACTGGCTGGGCGCTGCCTCTTGATTTATACTTCAGAAACTCGTTGGTCTGCCCTTTGCCATCGGCCCTTGGTGCTCACAGTCCCCCTGTGGTACTTGCTGGACCGGACTGGGACTGACTGGACCTTCCGCTGACTGACTGTGGACTCACCGCCATCCTACCGACGTTGTACTGCTGTTGCACTGCGGTTTTGTCCACCACTTGCCTCGCCACTCGACCACTTGCCCACTTGCCTATCTTCTAGTAGGTCTACAGCTAAGCTTCCAGAACTCACTAAGACTCCTACGCTATAGACCTACAGATCGAACCCCTGCTGTCTATGGACCTACGACAGGTCTACCAACTGCCTACGAATACACAGGTCACAGGTTCAATTCTCAGGGTCTACACAGATACTGTACATGGGTAGGGTGAGGTCTAGGGAT